TTTTCTCTCCCCACTCCCCCCCCCCTCCCCTACACCAGCCCTGCCCCTCTCGGGCCACCTGGTCACCCCCTGTGTCTCAGCAGCCGGGAAGGGGCCCCTTACCTGCTCCCCCAGTGACAGCCAATGAAGCCACTGGCTACCTAAACCAGGACCCAGCTGGAAGCTGCTCAGTGCTGATGTTTATTTATAAAGTTACATCCTAAAAACGTTTCTAATAAATAGTTTTAAACAAGATCTGTCCCAATGCGCAGTAAGGCCTCTCTCCGGGGCCAAGGAGACAGGGCGTGGAGGATTTCAGGGAGGCTCTGTCGGCTCAGCGGGGTGGAACGAAGGTGCCCACCCTGAGTTTTTCTTGCCCTTCCTGCAGCACCTGCAGGGACGGGGGCTCCTTGCCAGGACCCGCTCAGGCCCAGCCGCCACGGCCCTGGTGTGTGGGCCACTGGGAGCCCCTCAGACCCCTGGTCACCGGAGCCGACACGCAGGGTCACCCGGTTAGGCTTTCATCACTGCCACGAAGGAGGCCTGCGGGAGGAGATGGCAAGGGCTGGCAGCACTGCCCTGGTTGGAGGGGTGAAGGCCCGCCCTCACGTCCTCCAGGGGCTGTCACGGCAGCCCCAGTTTCTGGGCCCTGAGAAGCTCTGCCTGGGGCTCTCAGGGGAAGAGACCAGGGCACCTCGTGTCCCAGGGCACAGCCCAGCCTTCAGGGTGGCCGCTGGGACGAGCTAGGTGGGGGAATTAAGACCCAGGGCACCAGGAGGCCCCAAAGCAGAGTGAGCGGGGCCCTCCCAGGCCCCATACGTACCTCCTTGAGGAGCTGCCCCAGCATCTCCTGGCTGTGAATGGAGCGCCTGAGGGAGAAGACACCGCTTTCACCCCTCTGGGTCCCTCCCCGCACACCTGGAGAGGCAGCCACACTCCAGCCCCATCTGCTCTCTAGACGGCGCACTTTCCTCCCACAGGCCTCTGGGCTCTGCCAGGACAGTGAGAGCTGGGGTGTGTGTGGCAGGTGGGAGAGAACCAGGGGCGCTAAGATGCTGAGGACCACGGCCCCCCGACCGACACACCACACACACACACACACACACGGCCCCGGCGCCCCACCTGTCTATTCTGGTCTCTACGGTCACTGTGAAGGCCCCCTCTGTGTCCGGCAGGTAGGTGGAGGGCACGATCCAATAGGTCCCCTCGGACAGGTGGCAGAGCCGGCTGACCTCCTGGGCGTAGCAGTGCGGCACACAGCTCAGCAGAGGCTCCTGGAGCAGCAAGGAGGGCGCATCCTGGCCCCCGCCGTCCGCTGGGACCTGGGGGAGGCCCAGGCTCAGACCGGGCGGCCTGCCTGTGGGCGGACCAGATCGGCTGTGCCTGCCAGGACGGTGAAGGCAAGTCTCCTGTCTCAGCCTTGGCCTCGCTCCCTTCCCAAGCAGCACTACCCTGGGTTGGGAGCAGCCCGGTGCAGTCTGCTTGGACCCCGTCACACATGCCAGGCCCCCGAAGCTGGACTCGCCACTCACCGGGGCCCTACCACCCGAGGGCCCCAGCCTGGGGACCAGCAAAAGGCCCGCCCTCACGTCCTCCAGCGGCTGTCACTGCAGCCCCAGTTTCTGGGCCCCGAGAAGCTCTGCCTGGGGCTCTCAGGGGAAGAGACCAGGGCACCTCGTGTCCCAGGGCACAGCCCAGCCTTCAGGGTGGCCGCTGGGACGAGCTAGGTGGGGGAATTAAGACCCGGGGCACCAGGAGGCCCCCACTGCGCAAGCCCCTGCCCCGGGACTCATCTCCTTGGCTCCAGCCCCAGCACTTTTTTCGAAGCGCCGGGGGGTACCCCAGGGGTGGCCTGCGGTGGAGCGAGGCTCCAGAGTACGTCCTCAGCCATTGGGATCCTGAGGGCACAGAACCTTCTCAGAGAAGAGCCGACCCTCCCCTCCCCCACGTCGTCTGTACCGCAGGCTAAGCGTGCCCAGCCCCATGATGGGCCCCTGATGGCACAGCTCCGGGCCATCCTCCAGCCCATGCCCTCCTCGGGCACCTGCCACTGCCCAAGCCCATCTTGAAGCGGGGTCCCCAGAAGGAGCAGGGGAGCCACACCGTCACCATGGGATCTGGGTTTGCGACCTCTGACCTCTGGCACTTCACCTCCCGGCTTCCTCCGGCTACACGTCCGCTAGGTGCATCCCGTTCACGTGCCAGGAGAGGAAGAGCTGACTGAGGCCGGCGAAGGCGCTCGCGGAGGCGTTTGTGACTCCCTGGCCCTCGCCTGGCCTCCACGGTCTCCTGCCACCCGTGGGTAGGGCTTCAGGCCCACGTGAGCCCGGGGGGCAGCCTCTCCTCTGCGGGGGCAACTGGCACACTTCCCCGAGCTCCCGAAGGCCGCCCCACCCTCCTACTGCCTGGGATTCGGCCCCGCTCTCAGCTCCTAACCCCAGCTCTGTCTTCTCTTTCTGATCAGAAGACCCTCACTCGGTGGCGCGACCGTCCATCGCGTCTCAGCGGGTGTGAGCCTCCCCTCCGTCCCTTTCCTGCTGGTCCCCAGAGCCCAGGCCCTCGCTGGTTCCAGACTCAGGCACGGGGTTTGGGGGGGGGGGAGGATTCACGCAGCTTTAGGGCGGCTCCTGCTGGACAACGGCACCCTCTGCGCTCTGTCGGGCCTCCTGGCTGCAGGTGCAGTGCTGGGGGCAGCTCAGGACACAAGTGTCCAGTTGTTCTGAGCCCAGGCAAGTGGACGAGGGGCTGCCTGAGCTGAGCTGTGACCCCCAGTGAGCTATGGACTTTAGGAATAGAAAAGGTCACAAGTGTGACTGGATGATGCGGACAGACCCTGGGGGGGCCTCTCTCCCCGACCCCGGCTCACCCCACCCGGATGCCCGGGAGCAGGGGCCCCTGCCTGGAAGACGTGGAAGCCGATGGGGAGGCGCTCATGGTCACGGCAGTGCTGGCGCAGGGTGATGCGGACGCAGCGGGGGCCCGCGCCCTCCGGCACCGAGAGGGGGAAGCGGGGGTTGGTGGGGTAGGAGGCAAAGTTCCGGCTGCCCCCCGCCGTCCGGCCGACTCTCCAGGAGCCCCGCAGCCTCACGGTCTCCCACTCGCCCACAGGCAGGGCCTCCCGGGGGGCAGCGCTCTGGGCTGCCGGCTGGATGGCGCTGCCGGGGAGACAAGCACAGGAGGCGGCGTGGCGCAAACGCACGCGGCCCCGCCCCAGTCCCCGGCCCGCCCGCCGCCCTCACCTGAGGCAGACTCTCCCGCTGGAGAAGACCCGGAGCAGGAACCGCCCTGGCACGTCCTTCAGGAAGGTGCTGGGCACGGCCAGGTAGTAGCCCGGGGCGAGCTCACAGCGCAGGTGGACCTCGCGGTCGTACGCGTGGCACGCGGTGCCCGCCACGGGGGGCGCGGACAGGGCCTTGGGCAGGCTGACCCGCCGCTTCTCCACCTGCAGGGGAGGCCCGCGTGCACCCGTCACAGAAGGGCCCCCTCGAAGCACCCAGCCCTACGGGTCCCCCGCACCCCGGTGAACCCGGGCCTTCCCCTCAGCCCTGGGGTCAGCGGCTCCGTCCCACAAGGGAGCCTGCAAGTCCGCCTCTGCTCTGGGAGGAGACAGACAAATCCAGACGGGGCCGCGCCTGCAAAGGCGGGTGGCTGATGCAACCTGGGGACTGCCAGGCAAACGCTTGCCAGCAGTTTCTGCACGAAGAAAGGAACGCCAGGCAGGCCGTGGCCGCACAGGGACGGGGAACAGTGCGATGTGAGTTGTCAGACCCCGTCAGGACATACGGGCTTAAAAACGAAGCGACTGGGCAAGCCAACGGGCAGCGCGGTCCTGTCGGCCACCCTCCTGCCCCCTCGGAGAGCAGGACAGGGGTCTCCATCGGGAGCCACAGACCTACCCTCAGACAACCCACGAGAGCACAACCCCATCCCCGTTTTGTAGGGAGGGGACTGAGGGAGGTCCCGGGCTGCCCGCAGCAGCCCTCCTAACACCTCTGCCAGCTCTGCTAACGGCTGCTTCTGTGTAGCTTGCCTTTGGCCAAAGGGCACACCCTGGGCCAGGCGGAGGGAGGTGAGCCCTGTAGACTCAGATCTGAGCGGGGTCTGTGGGAAGACAGCCGGGGGGGGGCGAGGGGCACGTCGGGAGCTCCTGGGGCTCAGGCCTCCTCACCGCTGTGCCTGCATCCCACAGAGCGGGGTGCCAGGCCCGGGTGGGTTACCTTCCAGATGTGCAGGCCCACGGCCTGGTAGTCCCTGCCTGGGTGGCCCGCTGTGCGCAGCTGCGGTCTCTGCAGGACGGCCATGTATACCTCGCTGGGTTCGCAGACCCGCAGCCAGAACTTGGGGTTGCTGGGAAAGCCGCTGTTGTTCCGGCAGCCTCCCGCCGACTGGCCCTTGACCCAGGCCCCGGGCAGCTCCTGAGTGTGGCACAGCACCCTTCCTGGGTGGGGACCCCCACGTCAGCTGCAGGGACGGGGTCCCCCTCACGCTCCCTGCACTAGCAGGGGCCCCCCACCCTGCCACCTGTCCCCCCAGGGCAGGTGGGGATGCGACCACCGCTCCGCCCTGAAGAGAAGCCAAGGGGCAAGAGAGGTGCCCAGGCAGCCCGCGGTGGGACACAGTACCTGCTCAGCCCCGGACTTCAGAGGCCAGTCGTCTGGGCCACTGCGAGCCCATGAGGCCTCCCCCAGGGCGCAGGCCTCCCTTACCTGAGCAGAGGCTCTGCAGGTGGCCAGCCTCCGAGATGGGGAAGCCAACGGTGACCTCGTCAAACTCCCGCAGAAACTCGTCCTCCTCCACCCAGAACTCCCCCTCCTGGAGCTGCGACAGCAGCTCAGACTGGGCCGCAGACTCCACCCGGTTCCACCCTTCACCCCTGGAAGGAACCTCCCTTCAGCCGAGGCCTCCCGCCTGCTGAATGGATGACAGGGGCGGCGAGGCGGGGTGGGGGTGGGGATGCTGGTCCCACTCTGCGACCCTGGGCCAGTGAAGGGGAGCGGCCCTGGTCCAGGTCTTGACGTTGAGCTGACGACTGGGTGCAGGTGTTCTGTGGGTCTGTCACCCGCAGCCCGGCAAGGCATCCACCAGTCCGTGGGTGCCCCTGACTCAGGACAGGCCCCGACCGCCCCGGGCGCCTGGGTCGCAGGGCCCAGCACTAAGCTGGCCTCAACAGGCCATCTGGGGCCGAGCACAGAGCATGGTGGCCCACGAGCAGGAGAGCCGTGTTGTGACCACGGCCCGGCCTCGGACACCAGGCGCGCACGTGGTCAAGGCGGCTCTGGGCTGCCCCTCAGGCCCCGCACCCCTCCCCCAGCAAGACCAGCACGATGACCCAGAGTACACCTCGCCCGCACTCACCCCTCTCTCCAGGGCCCCTGCCAACACCGCCGGCCCCAGGGGTTCTGAATCCGCAGCAGCAGGATGCTCTGACCAGCCCGACCCCGGAGCTCTCGCAGGTCCGAGACAATGAAAGCATGAAACTCCCCCAGCGCCCTGGTACCTGGGTGAGGGACAGCCAGGAAGTCCTCAAACCGAGCAGATGCACAGGTCCGCTTCCTTCCCTGGGACGCCCCAGCCCACTCAACTGCGGCTGCACAGGCCCTCGGGTCCCCGCGGGTCACCAGGGGCTCCTTTCCTGACCGCTGCCGACAAGTCAGCTCAGGAGTGGCCTTATGCAGCGTGAGTCACAGTGAAGGACCTGGGTTTAGACTCTGGCTCAGCTGCCACCAGGCCTAACAAGTCATTCCCTTCTCTGGGCCTTGGTCCTCGCTGAGGATGAGGAGGGAGGTTCTCAAAAGGGCTGCTCCCAGCACTGTCATGGGCGGGTCTGTGACGCCAGAAATTAGAGAAACCTCTTCTCGGCGAGGCCTGCTAAGGTGTCAGGGGCGTCAGGTAGTGTCTGAGCAGAAACCGGTGGGGAGGGCTGGAGGCCCGCGGGAGGCCCTCCACCTGGCCAGAGGCCTTGGGACAGACAGGCGCAGAAGTGAAGGGGCCAAGCAGAGACTGGTGCGCGGGTGGCGGTCCAGACAGGAGAAGAAACTCCTGGAATGTCTTTAAGTGCTTTGCTTAGAAAGGCACTGGAGCCGCCACTCTGGGTGTCCCGCCCACGTCCCCAGCCCCCTGCCACTTCGGTGGGTTCCAGCTGCTCTCCATCTTTGCCTGTGGGTTCCCCCAAAGCCCGAAGTGCCTAGAATTAGCCCTACCCCACCCTGGGGGCAGCTGATGCTATACAGGCCACCCTCTGAGGCAGTGTCTCGCACAGCGTCCCAGCACAGCACTCTGTGGGCTCCCCTCACCACCGAAGTGTGCTTCCCCAACCCCATCGTGAGGCCTGCAGGTGGGCAAACCAGACCGGGGCTGTGCTAACGCTCGCGCGCGCGCCGGCCAGCACAACAGCCAACACGTGGCAGTTTATTTTGATGTTCTTATTCTTCGGACAAAAAGCCCGTTAGGAAAATAACCCTAAATATGAAAACAATTGTGCATAAAGATGTCCACTGCAATGTTATTTATAATAGCATAAAATGGAAAGAACTTAAATACCCAACATCAAGGGAAGGGTTAAGAAGAGCGCAGCAGATACCCTAATAACGTAAGACGTTGACAAAATTTACACAGCAACACAGAGAATGGTATATAATATAGAATATAAAACATATACATCTTTTTGAAAAGAAAACTGAGAAAAGGGGCTAAAAAGTCAAAAGTAGTCAAGTCTGAGTGATTTTTTTCTTTCAACGGATTTCTTTCAATGAGCAGGTATATTACTAAGGTGAAAACCTGACTGTCGATTTTTTCAGGTTACCAGCTGGGCCAGAGATGGTGCCACCACCTGGTTCCCAGTGACCCCAATACAGGCTCCCATCTCCCCATAGAGGTGAGCCCTGGTCAAGGGAAAAGGGGACACTTCCCTCCAGAGAAGGACGGTCAGGAGGGAAGGTCACACACTCAGACACCAGTCCCGAAGGTCCTGCTTTCCACTTAGCCCATATAGAACTACAGTAAAAAGCTCCATACAGGAGGCCGAGAGGGCTCAGGTGTGCAGGCCTGCCATGCCATCGCCCGCTCCCGCCCTACCTGTTCTGGGGCTGAGCACCGAGCAGCTCAGCAGACAGCGGTCCTTCAGGCTGAGCAGCTGCCGACAAGTCCTACGTTCCGCGCCCCTGGGCCTGTCCTGCTGGCCGCTGGTTCCTGCCATGTCCTTCAGGTTCCACCTTTCGGCCAGGCCACCAGTGAGGTCCACCAGGGCGTCAGCCACCTGTCCTGCCCACAGGTGCTCATAGGACCCGTAGACCCTGGGGAGACAGCCAGGAGGGCGTGTGGCTCTGGCACCAGGCCCCCTGCCCCTCTCCTGTCCCCTGTGGTCTGCCTTCTACCCACCTCAATCGCCTCTCTTTCCTCCCCTCTTTCCC